ACACAGAAATCCATGCATGCATGTAAACAAACACTGTAAAACATGGTTTTCAGTCCATAAACACACATCTAAATCTGTTAACCAAATTGAGCAACAATTCAACACTGTCACCAAATATACAATCAGCATTACTGAGGCATGCTAGCCTGAGCCATCTAACCTTCTGAATTACTGTAAATGTGAAGTCAAACACATTGAGCTGATGACAGCAAAAGGAATAATATAAGTAGCAAGCAATAAAACAGAATTGCTTTGAATTCAACTACTTCCACTCTGGAGCCATTTGCAACAAGTAGTCAAATTAATTACTGAACAGTTTACAATGTTCTCATTATCAGCACTACAAGTGTCAGCAAATACACTAGTCTTACAGTGGATAGGATATTACTGTTTCATGAAGATGTGCAATAAAAACAATCTTGAAAAACACAACAGAGTTTTGAAAGAAAGTACTGTAAAATGACTAATTTTCACTGGGTTTAAATTTCACTGATTTACCATTTCAGGCATATTCAGTAGGTTTTAAATTCACGGTTTCGTCATTTAGATAATGTGTCCTATGCTAAATTTAACATATTCACTGTGTTTTAATTTAGCGCATTTTTCCAGTCAGCGAAATAAGCTAAATTAAAACCCAGTGAATAATTACCCCCTTTACAGTATGCAGATTATCAGTACCCACGATTCTGACTGACTCATTTTTCCATCTTTAATAAGATTGGGAAAACAATACAGTGGTAGTCAAGAAGCACAATAGGTTGTACTTGGTTACTCAGATGTTTCAAGTTGTATTTAAAATTTGTAAGTTGTATTAATTTTTATTCTGTGTAAAAAAATTTCATGAAAAAAACTTTATATGGTAATACATATACCATGGTAGCTAAATCCTGCTGCAAAGTATTGTTATTTTGTAATTGTTAATTTTTTTTTTATTGAAATAGTACAAACAAAACATGATAGCCGGCAATAAAGGGTACAAAATAGAAAACATCTCATTCTTGTTTTGTTTTTTTCAGTTTTTCTGTGTGTGTACGTTTTTGTTTCTGTAAATTATGTTAATATTGTGTGGAAAATAAAATAAAAATATTTTTAAAAAAGTAAATTGTTGCTGGTATTTTATATTAACGTGGATCAGTAGAATGTTTTTTCCATACATGGATTGAATGTTATCAGAGAAAATATTAATACTGAAAACCACTGCTCAGTTTGTTTTAAACAAATAATTCCAGCTAAAATATTAAAACTTATGGAAGAACCGTGCATTCCCAAAAGTTGTACGTCTTCTCAGAATTTACTCTACACTTATGCCATTAGTTACTCCTCAGAACATCATTTAAAAAAATAATTGGTTAAATACTGAGAAATATCTGTAGAAATGAGTTTAACAAATCAATATAGTTATCAATAACTACATATAAGCACACAGACATATGAAGTCAAGTGTTTTCATTAAACCCACAAAAATTACTAACCTTGTCCCAACATAATGTCCACTAAATTCAGATCTACACTAGTATGTTGCAGAGTTAATGCGAGTAATAAACAATTTGAAAGTTCATACAAGTGCAATCCCTTGGGCAGACAAACTCAAAGAATTGTATGTTTATAAAGAATAGGAAGCATTAAACTATATAATCTGTTAATGAACTAGCCTGGTTTGTGTTAATCTGACATACCATCAGATGAAGAATAATGCAAGACAATTGCTACGTTCAAGTTAAGGGATCCTTAGTGTTTGCAGAGGGATTACAGCAGTTGCATTCACAGTAGTTTGGACCAACTAGGGAAGGACTTGGCTCGTGCCGAAATCATGCTCTCATTATTTGAACTGTTATTTGACCCAAACATGGAAAACGATACACATATGATGATAATAATTGATATATTGAAATTATATCCATGTACTGTTATGGTATTTATAACCAGTCATCGTGCACATGAACGATCCGAAAAACAATTATTTTTTTCAAGTCGATGTAGCATTACAAATAAAAATTAAACTGCTGCAGCAGCACAGTTGCGACGCCGACAACGTCTACCATTCATTTCATTCATTATCTCAGGATCCCACCATATATAGCTGCACCTCTCTCCCTCCATTCACATACACATTTCGGCCATTTGTGCCGACTAGGTCCCAAGTCTTGGCCCGTGCCTAGATCTCCAATGTGAATGCCACTAATATATGAAAATTTATTACACTAAATAAATCCACAAATAAGCATTGAATCAACATACAGAGTAATTCCTGTCTTTGCAACAAGTGTGCTAGCAGTACAAGGGTCATTCACCTTGGTAAGCTCCTACACAAATCTCTAGTGTTTATCAAATGCAATGGACATCCAATCTAAGTACATTACATAGACTGAAATAGACTTCCAGACCAACAGTACATTACACATACAGAACATTACACACTAATATTTTATGCATTTTTATAGACATAAAGCAAAAAAGTATTCACAAATTTTATTCATCTTAAATTCTGCCAACTTAAAAGGAAACTTGCATATTCCTTTGAATAAAATGTTGGCTAAATTCACATGAATTTATTCTTAGTACCAGCTGGCCGCCATCAGTTTAAGCCAGTTCAAGCAGCTGTTGGATGACATGATACAATCTTTTAAAGCTAACCACACAAATAACACAGACTGCCTAAAACACTATCTTTATACTCAGTCAGCAACTTGTAATCACAGAGGACATAGAATATGGAGATACAATACACTGCAATATGCGTTTGTGTTTAGTAATAGTATACGGCACGTGAAAACATAGTGGATTGGTAACAGGAAGAACTACGCAAATGGCAATTACTGATTCACGCGGAAGATGCGACCGCTTTTTCATAATTCAACAAGTTGGACGTATATAAACAAATCATGCAGAAGCTTTTTTGCGAGCTGTGATATTTTACAAGAGATATTTTCAGTCAGTGTTTTAATGGTCAAACAACAGACTGGAAATGCACACCGCACAAAGGAATCGCACACAGATGTGCAAAACCGGAAGTTGTTACATTTCACACTTACCTTGCCCAAAATCATCCTTCCGTTCATAGTTTGCAATGCCGCTGCAGCGTGACTGTGTTCTACAAACTCCACGAAGCAATACGGATCGTTACCACCGTGCTGGGGGTAGAAGAAGGTGATAAATAATATTGCATCTGCCAAAGACCGGCAACACAACTCATCGTCGTGCAGTGCAAAAGAAACTCAGTCTGGCAGACACGCAGCTGTTTGAAGGTCATGCAAATATTAATATAAACAGAGGTACATGGCGATTCATACACATAAATAACATTTGACTTACCTCTGCTATCATTTTACAACTCTTGCACGGCCCTATCTGACCGAATAGTTGTAGTATGAAGGCTTCTGTCACCTGCCGGTCCAAGTTTCCAACGTACCTGCGAGGGAAAAGAGAGTCAACGTGGAACTCAGTAAAAAGAATGCATGGCGAGCAGAGAACACATGCTACCGAAAATCACCGTGAAAATCGAATCGCGCCGCATTCCGCAGGGGTACTTACAGAGTTCGGGGAAGAGCGTCATCGTCAAAATACTGTAACAAAAGCAAAAGTTAGTAAAAGTTGATAAATAATACCGAAATCAAGAAAAATCAGATAGAAAGACATTAACCTGGTTAGCCATCATGGCGACCACACACCCAGGAGACGTTTATATGAACGCATGCGCAACGCTCGGCATTCTGGGTAATATTCGCGCCAATAAAGCGAAAACCATGATAATCTTACGCTGGGATATACTCCCGGACATACTACAACATCAACTCGATAGAGACAATATATTATTTGTATCTTATAAATATATATTTTAAAAATGGACTTAAGCGCAAACCCTATTAAAGATTAATTTTGAGTTTTCATACTAACTTAAACAAACAATATCACTTTCATGCGAACAACTCCTGAAAGCAAAACACTTAGAACATGAAGGTAGAAGACCACAAATAAATGCAAATACCGAGAATTTATTCATATTAACTTTCAAAAGCTGGACTTCTACCTTAAATAACTTCGACAGTGACTATCAACGTTTCAGAATAAACTACTGTAAAATACTTCGCTTGGAATTCATTGTGGTTATTTCACTGACGGGAGAATTCAGCCTGAGCTAAAATAAAACCCAGTGAATATTCAATTTTCCTATAGTTTACATCCAACTCATCATAAATAAACTTCATACAAAACACCAAAAAAGTCGTTTCAGCGAAAAAAATATGGTTGAATTAAAGTATTTTACATATTTAAATTCAACTCATGTTTTTGTTTTTGTTTGTAGTACATGGGACTTACAGGAGAAACGCCCGGGGGGGGGGGCTACTTGCATAGAAGTGCAATACGGGTATGTGCCGCCCGACTGGGGTGTCATTTCACGTTATTTTGTTTAAAAGTGGGTATTCATTTATCAATGGTCTGGTTTAGAAGTGTGTAGCATTTATTCACTTGTTCACAGATCTTTATATTCAAAGCCAGATACTGGAAATGGTTGAATAAAATGCGTCGCTCGGATGTACTCACTGGTTGCAAAAGTTGTGAGGTGGGTGTTTTTTTTTGTTTTTTTTTTGCTGCAAACACTTGTGTTTAGAAGTGGGTATATAAATAGAAAAAAATGTTTTAGAAGTGAGTATGGTTTACGAGAGGTGGGCTGTACTCCCTACCCACTTAATGTGGAAGTAGCCCCCCCCCCCCCCATCGGAGAACGAGATAAACGCTTGCCCGTATTCGATATACGGCACAAATACAATGAGCAACCTCATTTGCCTGTGTAATAATAGATTTAAAATTCTACATTATTATTTGTTGGTGAAACGAACGATTATAAGGGTCGTTAAAACTTTTACGTAATCAGAAAAATTGCTTTTCTTAGCCTTTCTCAGCTTTTCTTTAACATGAGACCCCGTACGGATCAAACCCATACTTGTTAAAAACTGCGTGCGTGACCGGAACTGAATTGAGTAGCTGTACGAGAGCGCAACAGACATCGCGCCACGCGCCCTCGACTCGGAATTCTGTGTAAGTAAACACTGTACAGTACACGCGTTGTAAACGTTGCATGGGACCCATATCGAACACGATGCGACGAGACGGCTATGACATAACATTTTTTTAGTAATATCTTCACTGTGACCGCAACAAGAATGGAACGGCAAATCGTAGGATCCGCTACAGTGTTGCAAACAAAATAGCTACATTGCACGAAATACTGTTGCAACTGGAAGCAATGGCTACAGTGAGCAGTGTAGCTATATCATTAGCAACACAGTATATCGTACGGCAATAATGCGGCTCCATTCTGTCTTGTGACCACAGTTTTAAAATGTATTTTTTGTTTATAGAAACAAGTACATGACGTTACGGCATTGTTAGAATCTTTCCGAATCACCAAAATAATGAATAAGAATTGTTGTAAGATTTACGTCGAATGAACCGAGTTTGACATCTGAAGCGTCGCAATTGAATAGACATACATTACCCGGGTTAAAGGGACATCAATTTCGTAATATTTTTTATTTCACGTAATACTGAGCAAGAATTATATTTGTTGTACCACTTGTGTACTATTTGCGTAAATCTAGCATGAACTCACACCATTTGGTGGCCCCACGCACGGTTACTAACCGAAATGGCGCATAGGTCATTTTAGACTGTCGACAGTTCTCTCGTCTAATTTGTTTCTAAGTCGGACGAAATACCTCAAATTAAAACGACGAATGTTATTTTGGTCTACAGTAATATATGGATATACGAATCTGAAAGAATTGAAAAAAAACTCAGGTCACGTGACTGTAAATGGCTCCACATAAATTAAAATTTACGTAACAGGAATAAGTATAAGTCACTTCCAAAAATTATAATAATTACTTTCTAATAATAATTGTCAAAGGTCAGAGTTTAAAAGCTTTCTATATTCCGTTGTGATAATTTCAAAATTATACTTATTATAGGTTACAATGATGACGTGTTCGTATGACATTCTGTGAATAGTAATTGTTATTCAACATATGCGTGTTTGCGCGAATTATAATCACAGTGCTGGTATTTTAACTAAATAACTGAGGATTTTATATTAGTTAGGCATTAATTGACATCAACTCACAAAAATGGCATGAAGCTACAGTAATTGAAACACCAATATCCGGGTTGTCACAAGGGTTGACCGGTTTTTCCAGGCACTAAGGTATCAGCAGGCAGCCCACCATACCGTCTAGTGAGGTCAAAGGTCACGTATAGCATGCATGGCCACTTTGGGTCACACCAAACAGAAACCACCCAGGCTCCAGGTCAGATAACCCACACGACCACTTCGGCCCAGACGAAGTTAAATAAGACATATAGCATGCCAACCCAGACTCAGATAGACCAGAAAACGAACACATTTAGCGTGGTCACACAGGCTTAGACGAGTCTAGGTATCTACTTTCTATATACGTTCCTAACACGCATATGATATGGTTAGGATCACATCTAGTTTTATCACACATACAACATGACCACTTTGATACAGACCAGGCCAGAGAACACATAAAACATGGCCACTTTGGTACAGATCAGGCCAGAGAACACTTAAAACATGGCCACTTTGGTACAGACCAGGCCAGAGAACACTTAAAACATGGCCACTTTGGTACAGACCAGGCCAGAGAACACTTAAAACATGGCCACTTTGGTACATACCAGGTCAGAGAACACTTAAAACATGACCACTTTGGTACAGACTAGGTCAGAGAACACTTAAAGCGTGGCCTCTTTGTACAGATCAAGTCAAGGAACACATAAAGCATGGCCATCTTGGTACAGACCAGGTCAGAGGACACATAGAGCATGGCCACTTTGGTACAGACCACGTCAGAAACACTTAAAGCATGGTCTCTTTGTACAGACCAGGTCAGAAAACACATAGAGCATGTCCACTTTGACAAAGACCACGTCAGAGAACACTTAAAACATGACCACTTTGGTACATGCCAGGTCGGAGAACACTTAAAGCATGGCCACTTTGGTACAGACCACGTCAGAAACACTTAAAGCATTGCCAATTTGGTACAGACCATGTCAGAAAACACTTAAAACATGACCACTTTGGTACATGCCAGGTCGGAGAACACTTAAAACATGACCACTTTGGTACAGACCATGTCAGAGAATACTCAAAGCATGGCCACTTCGGTACATACCAGGTCAGTGAACACTTAAAACATGACCACTTTGGTACAGACCATGTCAGAAAATACTCAAAGCATGGCCACTTCGGTACATACCAGGTCAGTGAACACTTAAAACATGACCACTTTGGTACAGACCAGGTCAGAGAATACTCAAAGCATGGCCACTTTGGTACATACCAGGTCAGAGAACACTTAAAACATGACCACTTTGGTACAGACTAGGTCAGAGAACACTTAAAGCGTGGCCTCTTTGTAAAGATCAAGTCAAGGAACACATAAAGCATGGCCACCTTGGTACAGACCAGGTCAGAGGACACATAGAGCATGGCCTCTTTGGTACAGACCACGTCAGAAACACTTAAAGCATGGCCTCTTTGTACAGACCAGGTCAGAAAACACATAGAGCATGTCCACTTTGGCAAAGATCACGTCAGAAACATTTAAAACATGGCCACTTTGTACAGACCAGGTCAAAGAACACATAGAGCATGGCCACTTTAGCACAGACCACGTCAGAAACACTTAAAGCATTGCCAAATTGGTACAGACCATGTCAGAGAACACTTAAAACATGACCACTTTGGTACAGACCACGTCAGAAACACTTAAAGCATTGCCAAATTGGTACAGACCATGTCAGAGAACACTTAAAACATGACCACTTTGGTACATGCCAGGTCGGAGAACACTTAAAACATGACCACTTTGGTACAGACCACGTCAGAAACACTTAAAGCATTGCCAAATTGGTACAGACCATGTCAGAGAACACTTAAAACATGACCACTTTGGTACATGCCAGGTCGGAGAACACTTAAAACATGGCCACTTTGGTACAGACCACGTCAGAAACACTTAAAGCATTGCCAAATTGGTACAGACCATGTCAGAGAACACTTAAAACATGACCACTTTGGTACATGCCAGGTCGGAGAACACTTAAAACATGACCACTTTAGTACAGACCATGTCAGAAAATACTCAAAGCATGGCCACTTCGGTACATACCAGGTCAGAGAACACTTAAAACATGACCACTTTGGTACAGACCAGGTCAGAAACACTTAAAGCGTGACCTCTTTTTACAGATCAGGTCAAGGAACACATAAAGCATGGCCACTTTGGCACAGACCACGTCAGAAACATTAAAAACATGGCCACTTTGGCACAGACCACGTCAGAAACATTAAAA